CTAGTTTGGTGCTGGTGTCACCTTTGCAGACACTGTCTCGCTCTACTTCTTCCTCCCTCACTCTCTACATCCCGCTGGTCCTGAGGGACGGGGTCTCCGGTTTGACCAGCACAGGGACAGTCACGGTGTCCGTATGTCCCTGTCTGAGGGGCGGAGCCCGGGCCGGAGAGAAAGAGAAGCAAAGTGAGGCAGAGTGGGACAGAGAGACGGTTTGTTTGCCCCAGCACTCCTCTTTGCCCTCCCCTGGACTCAGCACTGCCGCCCTGCTGGCCATTTTAGCCTGTGTGGCCACTCTTTTGGGTAAGTTTAGTGTAACTTCGAAATGGCAGTGGTAATGTACAGTCAGATATCCGTTATCGCAAAATAAACACAGACAGGGTGATCAGGACCAAGACACTGACACATTTGAGTTAAAATTATTTTGTAATTTTACCTTTAGCTGTGTTGTTATTGTTAAACTAGAACTGAAACTAAAGGTATTAAAATAATTTTCATTAATTTAGATAAAAACTGCAACGAAATTAGAAATGTTGCTTTGGCAAATAACTGAAAACTTACTTTAAGTTTTAAAAGTAGAATAAAGTAATATAAAAAGAATAAAAAAGTATAAGTTAAAGATCTAAAATGACTAAAACTAAATAATAAAAAGTAAATTCAAAATAAAAATTGAAGCTAAATAGAAATAGTAAAAAAAAAAAAACTGAAAAAATGACAAAAGCACATAACAAAATAACTAAAACTTTAAATTAATACAGTATACATAAAAATAAAAGCTTTAAAATATTAGTAAATACTATAGTAGTATAGAAATAATAATAAAATAACACTGACCTGTAAGAAAAAAATTATGAAAAATAAATATACCCCTACAATGTACAAAACAAAAGGCCTAGCTACAAGAAGAACACTTTAACAGCATTTCAGTAGTTTTTATACTTAAGTCCTCTGAGATCATCGACATTAGGGTCAATAACTCAGACGCTAGATGGCGGCAGTTGTGTTTATATATATTAAATGAGAAAGTTCAAGTCCATGAAAGTAGCACCCATTTCAGTCATTTGGATGAACGGTCTTATTTAAAGTGTTTTCATGGACGCCGATGAATACTAGAAAACCATCAGACCACTGGATGCTACGATTGACCAATCAGAATCAAGAATTCCCTAGAGCTGTGTAATAAATGTAATTGTGGGGCATCATTCTGTGTAAGTGTTAGTTTGCCAGCTGCTCTAATGTGTCTATTGAGTATCTGTCTTTCTATAGCACCCTGCAATTTTATTGCAAAAATTTGTCACCCAGCACAAACACACACGTCCTCCCTTTTTATAAATGGCATCATAAAACGCTTACTCTTTTTCTGTTCATCTCTCACTGTTTTCTTTCCCTTTTTCTTTCTTCTCTCTCTAGCTGTCAGTGCTTTGTCTCTGTCCCTGCGCAGGCAGAAAAGGGACTCGCTCTCGCCTTTAGAGGAGGATGATGTAAGAGAGAACATCATCACGTATGATGATGAAGGAGGGGGTGAGGCTGACACGGCTGCGTTCGACATCACAGCGCTGCAGAGCGCCCCACACACCGCACGCAGGGGGTACCGCACCCTGGACAGCAGGAACATGTGAGTGGGGCTCAGCAGGGCACATATGATAAAAGATTACATTGGCTACATCTGTTACAACAACTCGCTCATCCTGCACATTAATAAAGCGCTTCCTCAGTGCACTTAAAGGGATAGTTCACCCCAAAATTAAAATTCTGGCATAATTTATTCATGTTGTTTGAAGTCTGTATGTTTTTTTTTTTTCTTCACATGGAACATAAAAGGAGATGTTTAGCTGAATATCCTGACTGTTCTTTTCCATGCTACACATTTTAAGTTTTAACATTTAAAAATATATTAAGTTTTAAGAAATATTATTATATATATTAAGAAATTATTATTCTTTTTATTAGTACTACTACTACTGTGATGATTATTATTATTATTATATTTTATAGTCATATTGATGTACAATCACAATATTTTTGGACAAATGTAGCCCAACAAACAAGCACAGCAAACCTAGAGCTGTTTAAGAAAAAATCTGAAAAATCTAAATTTTTTTCTACAAATTGTGCATTCCTTCTTTTCATTCTGCCTTAAATTTTCTGAAAACCCTTTAAAATCCTGCATGTCTTATTTATACTCACTATTTTAATAAATCACAGCCCTATTAGCCAGCAATGTACTTCTTTGGGTTATAATAATTCCATTGTCTATGATGAATGAGGTCTAAGTTGTTACAAACAACAGGGAATTTTTACTTTTTTTCCACATTGGTTTTATTTTTAAAGAACAACAAATTTGCTTAAACTGAAAGTCTGAAAGTCAGAATTGTGAGATAAAACTCGCAATTCTGACTTTTTTTCTCCAAATTTCTCGCAATTGCGAGTTATAAAGTCAGAATTGCATGATATAAACTCGCAATTGCGAGTTAAAATCCAATTTTGAGGGGGGGGGGATACTGATATGTTCTCAGGATTGCGAGTTTATATCTCACAATTCTGACTTTATAACTCGCAATTGCGTGTTATATAGTCAGAATTGCGAGATATAAACGTGCAATTCTGAGAAAAAAAGTCAGAATTGTGAGTTTATATCTCGCAGTTTTGACTATTTCTCAGAATTGCGACTTTATGACTCGCAATTGCGAGTTTATATCATGCAATTCTGACTTGCGAGTTTATATCTCACAATTATGACTTTTTAACTCGCAGTTGCGAAAAAAAAGAAACGAAAAAAAAAGTCAGAATTGTGAGATAAAAAGTATAATTACCTTTTTTATTTTTTATTCAGTGGCGGAAACAGGCTTCCATACAAGCTCGAGAAAAACATAGAAGTAAAACTTAATTAAACAATATGCCTAAAAACTTCAAAAAAGCTTTTGAAACTATCATAATCTTTCATTTCATGTGAATAGCCTTTATATTTTGGTCTGTTTCTAATAAAAAGCTCTTGTATGTCTTCAAAGGATTTGGAATATCCTGCATAGTCATATATGGACTACTTCTGTGGTGCTGACATTTATCTGCATCAAACTTCCTTTCATGATAAAGTATATTCTGTGTTCCCTCAGACGTTATTCACAACACAGTCAGGACAAGGCTCGAGCATACAGCAGCTGGGCTCAGGCCGGAGCGCTGGACCCCGGGCAGTACAACAGTCAAGGAACCACTCTATATGGGCGGTTTTGCTACAGCAGCCACACCCTCCCAGTGCTGCGTCGCTCACAGGGCCCCTATGAGCCCGGCATATCTGAGTTGGCTTATCGCTTACCTGGGAATCAACCAGACCACTCTCTAGTCATTCAAAACCAGGCAGCTGTGGTTGGCCCTCTGGAGCCTGGGGCTATTTACATGCCAACAGCAGAGGCCGGCCATGGCTCTAAAGAAGGGACAGCATCTCAAGACGGAGCTGCCACATCTGAGGGAGGAACGCCAAGGAAAAACGACTCAAAGGATGATGCAAGCAGTGATGCCCAGCAGAGTCAAAGTCAAAGCCAGGATCTGGATTGGGTAAAACAACATATGTCTTTATTATTTATTTAAGAAGCTTAGAATCACCATGTTCAGAATCACAAAGTTGCTTTTCTAACCAGTATTTGGGGTAAAACCAAAGGGAGCACATTAAATTTGTTTAATTCTCCAGAGGCCTGTAAATTAATTGTTAAATAATGAATGCACTTTCAAACAAACAGCAATACTGACAAGACAATTAGAAAACCACTCTTTTGGCTGGACCAGTTAAACAGCTTTAGTAAACCGAAAATGAAGACAGGGCCAAGTAAAAAACAAAGTATATGGCTAATTTTAATTCACAGACTCGCTTCTCAGTCACACCCCAACAGCATCGAATCAGTATTAATGTATTATGTCTAATAAACATTCATTGAATTGGAGACTGGGAAACAACTGCGCAATTGATATTAATATTCATTTCACGATGTGTGTTTCACTGGGAAAGTTGTCACACACAGATCCTGAAAACGCATGAATTCAAAACTGCAGAAAGCTGCATGTAATTAAAAAATTGTACAATTTTGATGTGCAACAAAATATGTTGTGCGTTATTTGCTGTCATCTTAAGAGCCCATCTAGTGAATTTTAATGTCTGATTTTACACATACATTTAAATGCACAATGCAGACATATTTACTCACTGAAAGAGACTAATATTTGTTTTATTAAAAGTGATTTGAACACGTCCCATGTTTGAAAATATGTTGTTTTGCACATCCCTAGATAGCCGGCAGGCTAGTTTTTTTTGTTGTAGGTGCCGAACAGGTTGACGATGAAGGTGTATTTTCACATGTTGTCTCTTGCTGTCTCTTTTTCTCCTCATCCTCATCTCACAGTGCAGCGTTAGCTCTTTTTAGAGCTCAATTAACCTGGTTCAGCTATTGTCAACTGTTTCTCCCTCTCCATCTGTCCGATTTTGTCACTTACTTCCTCTACTTGCTAACACTTTACTGTCTCACTTCAATGTTATCACATTTTTCTGTTTTCACCTGCTCATTGTGAAATATCTTCTGCTTTCTCTTCCCTTTCTTAACAATCCTCTCTATCACACGCATCCCTCTGCTGAATAACAGAAGAATAAACTCATCCTTACCTCCCGCTCTAACCCTCCTGCTCCTCCCCGTCCCCTACAGGTCCAGCCGGACACGGCCCCCCGCGAACGGGAGCTAGTGTTGACCCGTTCCGGCTCGGTTGCTGGGCCAGGCCCCACGGGCGGTTGGGTGTGCGACTCCACCACGCTCCCCCGAGCTGGTCGGCACTCCTCGCGGAGCAGTCTTTCCCTAAGTAGAAACGGCACTGGGCCTGCTGAGTCCAGCCACGTTGGGGTGGCTGACGCTCCCAGTGGTAGCACAGAAATGCAGTCGGTCAGCAGCAATTACGCCACTATCCTGCACGGGGAGCAGCAGAGGGACTACCCGGGGACTCTGGGCTGGTCGGCCCTCCTCGCGGAGCAGTCTTTCCCTAAGTAGAAACGGCACTGGGCCTGCTGAGTCCAGCCACGTTGGGGTGGCTGACGCTCCCAGTGGTAGCACAGAAATGCAGTCGGTCAGCAGCAATTACGCCACTATCCTGCACGGGGAGCAGCAGAGGGACTACCCGGGGACTCTGGGACGGGGTGGGCTGGAGATGGGCAGCGGATTTGTGGTGGGAAGGCCCGAGAGAGAGGGCAGCATTCCACTGAGCACCGGGATGTATCCGGAAGGTGGTGGGTTCATAGGAGACTGGCATGAACGGGTGGGGATAACCGGGTACCCACTGGGCAGGAGGGATATGACACCTCAGCTGCTTCCGTATCCCGGCCAGGGCCGGGGAGCTTTTGGGGGCATCCTAGGTTATGGCGGAGTGTGGCCCTTAGCACCTGAGGGGTCAGGAAGAGGAGTGCCTGTCGGAGGTGCTCACTCTCTCGCCCTAAGGGTTGGCGAGTTCCTGCGTTTGCGCCTTGCGCAGGTGACCTTCGACCCTTCGCAGCCGCCGTACGACTCAGTGCAGGTGTACGGGCTGGAAGGCACAGGCTCCCGCGCCGGGTCCCTCAGCTCCCTGGACAGCGAGGGAGGCAAAGAAGCCGAGAAGGAGGTGTGGGGATCAGGTCTGGAGGATTGGGGCCCACAATTCCAGAAATTAGCCCAGCTTTTTAGGGAAAGGGAGAAGGAGAGCGGAGAAGATAAAGAAGGAGATGCAGAAGCCAGCAAAAAGCACAAGGATAGGGAATGGGAAGAGAAGGAGGAGCAGTCTGGAGACGAGGAGCAGGCGAATGTCTGAGAGAGCGAGAAGGAGAGGGGTTGGGTGGGACAGTGATTAAAAGGCAACAAGAGCTGGAATAATGAAAAGTGAAGGGTAAGGAGGGAGAGACGAAGAGGAAAGGTAATAAGGGAAGACAGGGAAAAATGAACAGAGAGAGCAAAGGCAGTGGAGAGAGTGATTGATGCAATTTGAAGCAATAAGTGCTGAAAAGCTGATGTGTGAGCACAGAGCGGTGTTTCTTTAGCCAGCATTTAACATTCCTTAAGTGTGTTTGGCAGTAAGCGAAAAGCAAAGTTCACTGTATTCCAGATCACATTTAATTACGACAGAGAAAGAACGAGATTTCAACTCTGATTTTCGTGGCAGCGAGCAAGACAATGGTACCACGCGGGAATGAGAAATGCAAGGCCGGAATAACAAAGATGAAAAGTTACGGCAACACACGAGGGAGTAGGAAAATTAATATTTGTACAGAAATTGTTTATACATTCACAAAAGCAAGAGAACTGAATTATTCAAAAGAAAGCACTGAATATTACAGTAAAGTCCTGAATAAGTGTCTGCACAAAGATTCTCTGTGTTTACACATACACACAGACGAAAACAAACACGCATCAATTTTAAACCCTGCTTGGAAATTCTGCTTTGCGGATGTCACATTGTCAGGGTTCAAAATGACTCACATTTTTGCCAAGAACAGATTGTATACAAAGTTGCTCAAGAAAAAAAAAAGATGACAAAATTAAAATGTAGTGATGCTAAAATTGTGCAAAACATATGCACAAACAATCATTACTAAAAAAAAAAATCCCACATTTAAAAAGTCAAGATGATTTATGAGAGCTGACAGGTCTGCTTCAGCTAGAATGCACTTTTATACATGATGTTCGAAAATAGATTACAATGTTGTTGTTGTTTTTTATTGGAGGAAAAAAAAACATGAAAAATATGTTCTATGTAAATGTATTTAAATGTAAATATCACTGAATGCCATTGTGAAAAGTGACAACAGTACTGTAGTCTTCAAGTAACAAAAAAAGATAATAAAATGAAAACTGAGGAGAAGATTATATATAATCCCACATCGAAATCCACTGGATATAACTGGAAGACACTGGATTGACTGAAGCAGAGTAAACCCTGCCACAGTACGATATCGGATGTGTTGCTCTTCCCAAATGGAACATTTATTTTTACTTGAATTGAATGCAGAAGCTCCAAATAAATATATGTGAAGTCCTTTTTCTGGGTTGAGCTCACACACTGCATTGATATCCTGATTAATAACACTGTTTGTGGCTACAAGGACTCACTGTGACTGGACTGAACCAGAACCACTTTATCACTGCACAATCATGCGCACCAATACCAGGGCGCTTCATGCAGTACGAACACACACACCTTGCCAAACAACCCAACAAATGTAATTCTTTGTCAAAAATGTGAGCCTAAAAAGGTTATATGAAATATTAATGTCTATATTATTGTACGGTAAGAAGAATGATTAAAGAAAGACAGATCCCCTGGAGCTTATTTGATTAGAACTAAAGGCCCATTTACACCAAGAGTGATAGCTGTAACGATAATTAGATAATTTGCACCCACACCAATGCATGTTCTGTAAACCGAGCTGCAGCCATTTGCTGCATTCCGATTGGCTGTGACTGTTTTGGAAAAAATTGTTTTGAAAGTAATTCCAGCGATATCGTCCCTCTGTGTCGTTATCGTTATAGTTGTGGAATGGACATCCCTGTTCTTATAGAATTACGATTAACATTATTGTAATAGTTATTGTTCTTGATGTAAACGGGCCTTAACGAATAATTGAATCCTTCACGTGTCATTGCCTATTTTTTTTCAGGTAGATTAGGTCAGTTGTAAACTGGGTGTGGAGTTACTGCATTCATCCTGGTTTCTGGACTGCATTGATGTGGCCCTGAGTGGGCCCTGTTGGTACTGAGATCTCGCGATGGTGTGTACTAAAAATGTATTTATTCTGTTGTATTTTTTCCTTTTTTTTTTGTAAATTTGAATAAAGACAGTATGTTTTGAGGTGATGTGTGCGCGACCTGATGTGTATATGCTCTTTTTTGTAAAGAAAACTCTTAACTGGATTGACTTTTGGCTCTTGCGTGTGTCTTCTAGTCTGTGTTTGTCTCTGCTGAGTAAATGTAAGTGCTGGCTTTGGAGATGTTCATAGAGGCTCTTCAAACAGGGACAGAGTTGGCAGGGAGTAAACACAATGTCTAGTCTACTTACTCCCAGGCTGTTTGACAGACTTACAACTCAAGGTCAATAATGGAAACTGAGAGTTCAAATCGCACTTTAAGACAGACAAAAGTTTACCGCGAGGTTCACCTTGAAATTCGCTCTATCTGAAGTCTGGATTACATCAAATGCATGGGATTTATTAGTGGGCCTGACAAGCCTTAGTTCATCTGATGAAAGTGGGGAAAATAAGGTCGTTTCAAACCACTGCACCTGCGAGTCAAGCCTGCTTATCGTTCACTTCAATCCTGCAATATGTGTGTGTGATTGTGTTTCAGCTAGCTTATACCCACAAATGCCTGCAAATAAACAAGCCACTGCCACCTTTTTGATTCGAGGCTGGTTAATTATTCATGAGCTCCTGCGCATATCCTGTTAGATTAAATTTGGTTTAATTACGTTTGCGAAGCTTGACGTAGGAAATAGTAGACTTGAATGAGAGAGAGACAAAGAGGAGTGTGATTGCTTCAAAATTCACTTCGAGCAGGAGAGGGATTCAAAATGATTCGCAGAGCACGCTCTGTCCTTGAGTTACATAATGAATTGATGCGCAGGTTATTATTACTCAATGCGCTGTTCGCTGTATATATAAATAGGCAGGGTGTGAGAACTTACCACATGCACATACAAAGTGTTGAGCTTTTAGCTAAAACTAATAATAATTTTCTCACTTTTCTTATGCAAACAAATAAGCTTCTGGGCATGTTTTGTGAAGCAGTGATACCACAGATGGATTATTTCTAAAAGTAGTGTCAGAAGATTTAGGTTTTTTTTCATAGACAGGAAAACATTTATCAGAACACATGGAGCACAGAAGTATGACATTAATGATAAGAATAAAAATAACTTACCATTAATACATTAATTCACTGCAAAATATCCTCATTAAAGATTCATTTGGTGAATTGCCCTACAATCCTGCACGACTCAGAATGGAGCTATAGATCATTAGGGCGCAGCTCAACCACAAGACATCTGGAAGAGGTATGCTAACTTGGAAGTGTTTCTCAGTTTTGCATGTTTTTTTTTTTTTTTTGCTTCCTCTGGGACAGCAAGGTGAAAATGCCCACCAACCTTGATAATTATACCACTTAATATCGAAAGGGACAGCAAGACTGCGCTTCCTGCATGTCCCAGGAAGACTGGAGGTGTACATGCCATATATAGCAACATTACAGCAAGCCATATTATATATGTGGGGGTCAGGTGGCTTTAACATTTACAAGGATAGTAAAATATTGCAGTGACCAGTCAAAAGGACCCATGGGGAAATGGTTTTATGAACATATACAAACGAAAATGTAAACAAATTTTCATAAAGTGATTAAGTCAATGGCAAATTTCTACCATGATAGGAAAAAGTGTGTGTGTGTGTGTGTCCTTACTTGTAGTTTACCCCCATCTGTAGTGGGGTACAAAATTGTAGCTAAAGGAGAACCACTGAATCTTTTGATCTACAGATTCATTCAGGGGCTAAACAAGTGCCTGTATTTACAATATGAGTCAGTCTTTGAATCATTACTCACCGGTTCATTCAAAACACTGATTCATTCAGGAATAGAACAAGTGGCTGTATTTATGATTGAGTCATTGAATCATTTACCCAACCGATTCATTTAACAACAATGATTTATTCAGGGAGGAAAATGCATGTTTGTTAGCAGCATGTAGCAAAAATCTACAGCAACTATTCCCTAATTCTCTTTGATGTTCTCCGTGGCTCTCCTGGCTTTCACCTGTGTGAGAGTGTCTGTAGAAACTGGACTGGCAGATTGTGTTGTGCTATGTGTTCAAGTTTGAATTGGTAAATTAAATCTTCATTAACAATCTTAATTAGTGTTCGATCTCCCAAACAGTAAGCTTGCAGAAAATCCATTTAGGAGTAGTGAAGGTTCTCTGTGTTGAAGATTGGTAATAGTAACAGAACACATGACACAGAGATTCCGATACAATGCACCTAATACTCATACATTGACAAAATGTAACTTTAAATAATAATAATAATAATAATAGACATTTGGAAACAATTATTGCAAGAAAAGTCAGAGTTATCCAGAGGAAAATCCTTGTTGATTTTGTTTAGATGGTGCTGCCATCTTATGGACACAATAGGAATAAACAGTCCAAGATTTTGTGTTTTTGATGCTGCTGCTGCATTTGCATTCTTGTGCATTCAATGCAGGTTTGGAACGACAATGAGGTTGTTTTTGGGTGAACTATCCCTTCCAGACTTGTTTTTACTCAGAGACAAAGTAGCACAGAGGGGGATTCAGACATTGTTTATTTGAATAAATCAGAATAATTAGTATAATTAGACCATATGAGTTTAAATCAGATTAAATATGAATTAGCCTACCAATGATCCAAGCCTTAAAGGAATAGTTCACCCAAAAATGAAAATTAGCCCATGATTTACTCACCCTCAAGCCATCCTAGGTGTATATGTCTTTCTTCTTTCAGATGAATAGATTCAGAGTTATATTTAAACTTCTTGGCTCTTCCAAGCTTTATAATGGCAGTGAATAGTGGTCAAGATTTTAAAGCAAAATAACGTGCATAAATCCATCATAAAAATTGCTCCATGTGGCTCTGGAGGTGAATTAAGGTCTTCTGAGCAGAATCGATGCATTTGTGTAAGAATAATATCCATATTTAAAACTTTATAAACCGCATTCTTTAGTTTACACTAACTGTCCTACACACTTACACAAGAGAGTGGAGTTCCAGCGGATGACGTTGGATGTAAGCGTATAAGCGCCGGTGAGAAGTGACGAATGCAGAAGCGTAGAGGAGAGAGCAAAACAAAACACCGTTCATGATTTAGAAGTACAAAATTAGGATTTGTAACGAAAAAATGTCAGAGGATTTCGATATAAGCCAAGAGGAGACTGGTTTTCCTTTGTTTGAAACAAAACTTGGTTCTCGTGAGACTAGCATATTCTCACTGGAGATTACACTACGCCTACGTCCTACACCATCCCCTGGAACGCCACTCTCTCTCGAATGCGCAAACAACAGTTAACGGAAACTAGAGATTACGTTTATTAAGTTTTAAATATTATTCTTACACAAATGCATCGATTCACTTCAGTAGGCCTTTATTCACTCCCCAGAGCCGATTTATGAACTTTATTTCGCTTCAAAATCTCGACCTCTATTCACTACCATTATAAAGCTTGGACATTTTTTAATACAACACTGATTGTATTCGTCTGAAAGAAGAAAGTCATGTACACCTAGGATGGTTTGAGGGTGAGTAAATCATGGAGTAAATCATTTTTGAGTGAACTATCCCTTTAATAGCATAAACCAGACAAAGAGCCTAGTGAAAAGAGCCTAGACTATGGCTCCTTTTCACACATTTACATGCTGTTTTTAAACATTGAAAACCATAGAAATGAACTAATGTTAGACATAATAAGGCCACCAACACACACAAATTTTTTTTACAGGCTTTAAATAATGTTTGTGCAAGACCGAAAGAGATGCCATAGGCTGTTCATGTGTGTCACACTGACAGAGAGCCTGTACATTGTTTGCAAGAAAAAACAAGTTTCATTTTGCCTTAGGGATGGCTTCTTCTTTGTTGGTTTGCATGTGTCAGTACAGATTAAGTAGTTACAAGGAAATCCAGCAAGAGAAAAATACAAAACCATTGTTTGAATTAAAACTTGCTGTCTA